GGATGTATGACGGGGGATGTTGTTGGCTGGAAGGTAAACCTGGAAAACCCAGTAGCCGATGAAAAAGGTCCTGGTAAGCGCTGGTTTTGTCTCATGGCCTTCCTGCCCCCGGCATCCGCATCCTCCGCACGCGTGTCGCTCCCGCACTTGCAGCGCGTTGCGTGCGACCCCTCCCCCCATCTGCTCGTCCTGGCCGTAACTTCTCAACTTTCGACGGAGGTGCCTGGGCCCCCTCCTAACCGCCGTCCCTCCCTCGACCAACTAACCTTCTTAGCCTAACCGAATAACCGCCTCCCTCACCGGCCCCAACCGCATGAGCCCTCCAGGATCGAGAGGGTTTTCAGCACACGGTTTGGTACCCAACTCCCCGTGCATTGGAGATGAGACTGCAGGTGAGGGAAGGGGTTCCAGGGGTCTGTTGAGTGGGGGGAGGGGGGGAAAGACGAACCACACACGATTGAAGCTGCTGCTGGGGGGAGGGGGGGGAGGCCAGTTACGCGGGGGGTTATGGAAGAATTATTACTCTTCGCGGGGAGGCCGGGGATAGCTGCGGTGGCTGGTTTGGGCAGCCGGCCCTCAGTAGCACTTGGGACGGCTGATGATGTGAAGGATTAGCGCAGTGTGCTCCAAGTCTCATGCGCGCCTGACCAGAGGGAGGGAGGGGCCATAGCTTCCGAATGTGAGGGCCCGGCCGGCAACTGGAGCGAAGCGGTATTATTATTGCGTTTGGTGTGGAACGTAGGGAGCGAAGCACAGGGATAGTTATGGCCGCCGGCCGGTATTGGCACTCAATGTACACTTCCGATGGGTTTTTGCAGAAGTGGAAATACAGCAGAGAATTCCTGCGTAGTCCGCATTCGGGACCTACGGACCAGACATCGGCAAACGCTTCGGGAGTTTCGGGTCGTACCGAAACTCCCGAAAACAGAATTATAGTTCCCGAAGCCGGCCGGCTTGCAGAAATAGGATCATACGCCATGTCAAACTATTGCAAAAAAACTCATTTGCATTCCGCTGCTCTGCAACAGAAATTGTACTGGAATAAAGAAACAGACCCGTTCCCGAAACCAGGATACCCCGTTTGCCGATGTCTGCTACGGACGCATAGGTTTTGGGCGGTTGGGGGTTTGTCGTTGTTATTTTGTTTCCAGCGCTTCTCTCGCAGTCCGATATCCTTGGGATTGCAGGAATAGAATTAATTTATTTATTTCCATGTGGAAAACATTTTTGTTCATGATGCTTGCGTGGGCAGGTCGGCACTAGAGAAACGATCCCTACCATGATAACTAATACAAATCGACAACGGTCTGTCCTTCTGCAGGTGGCCCGTGACTTCAACGTCGGTGTTTCAATTTGGGAATTGGGGCAAGGGCTTGAACGGTTTTTCGACCTTCTGTAATGTAACGCCTTCATGGAACTACAGGCTAAGGGTTCATCCTGATTTTTGGGTACCGTTCATAATGCGCGACTGTGTTGATGTTTAGGTAGCTGTCAGTTGTTGGCCGGACGTGGGACGTCAGATGTTACCGTAACTCCTTCGATTATGATGTCAATTTACTACTGCTAGTACCACCTCAAACTGCGTCAGACACTTACATATTTATGTGTGCATGTAAACATCTCTTAACTAGCATTGTCGCACTGGATCCGTGCTTGGCCACGTTGAGCAAGCGAGGCCTGCGACAAGGGTGATCAACGAAGTACCTTGTTATCGACTGGTTTGACCTTTTGCAAACAGACATGGACGCCACAGCAAATCAGGGAATGTCATTGACGATGAACCCTTTAGATGAGTCAATGCGGAGGATGGAAGGCTATGAAGTCACGCGGGCTCCGCAGACAGACGCCGGCATTCCGAACTTCCAAGAAGGGATTTTCACGTATAAGGGAAATCGCCAGACGCCATGGAAGACGGAGCAAACCCATTCCTACAGTCATCCCAAGGTACTGAAAGGGATGGAACGAGCTCGATATCTTGGGTCGCATGCCTTGCACCGTGTTCATTCTCCGGGCTGCACCTTTCCCCGTCAGTCGAGAGTCCAGCGTTCGTTGCCAACTCGTCACGATGTGGCCCATGGCTGCACCGCCAGGCGTCCCGACCAACCTTTGTCTCACCTATTGAAATGCGACGCACTGATGCTGTCAAAACGTTCAGGAATACGTCGGCCGCATCCTCAACGGCGCCATAGTGCACACGGGCGCCAACACCGAGATGGCCTTGACAACGCACCACACCCTGGAGCGACCACAATTTCCCCCCGGCACCATTCGCGGCTCCTGTTTCACGCAGCCGCAGTACGTCCCCACAGAAGACCCCGCGCTGGATGTGAGTAACAGCACGACCGAAGCGGGCCTGTTAGACAGGCTGCAGGAATGCACTTTTGTGTTGGCCATTCGCAATGCCGGCGCTTAAACCTTCCTTCGGTAAAGGGAAAGGAGAGCTCGAACATGGGGGGTGACCGCAGCATGTAGCCTGATAATGATGATGATGGGGCGTCATGGACCCCCCCTAGCCCTGTTTTGCGTGTTGTGGCCATGGCTGCTGCTGCAGCACCGGGGCCTGGCCGCTGCGGCGGCCGGCAAATCACTCCACACCCCATCATCTACTGGTCTGGAAGGCACAGACAAATGCAGCGTCATCATGGATACAGTGGGGCGTATTCATACAGGGGGCATCAATTGTCGCCTCCTCGCTCATCCGCCATCCCTAAACTGCTACCCGTAACTCCCAGTGCTCCATGTGCCCAACTCCCAACTCCCAACCGCAACTCCAGGAGCTGCATGCCGTAGCCCACGCGGTGTCACCGCTGCTGCCCGCGCTGCTGGAGGCCTGCCGGGCATATCACCTGCACAGTCCCGACGGCTGGATTACCACGGCGGGCTTCATGACTGCGGCAAAACGTGCCGGACTGGAGCTCAGTCGAGCCGAGTACCTCGCACTGGAGAGGGCGCTTCTAAAGGACGTGCGCGGCCGCATTAACTACTTGCAGGTGGAGCAGCTCGTCACGGCGATTATGGCAGGGGATAGCGCCGCGGCGGCAGCTGCGGCCGGGTCAGGAACGCAATGACGATAAGGGGATGGGGACGTGATGGGGGTGACGCCGGGAATTGCATCGGATCCCCGTGTGTCGGTATTGGTTCAGTTGGTTAGTTAGTTAGGTGTAGAGTCGGCGGACGATTTGCGTAGCGTGGGGGTTTGCGGGTTGCAGCGCTGTTTGGAGCGGGAGGCACTGGAGCAATTAATGTTTCGGTGTATCCGCCTAGTGCTGCTGTCTCCCTGAATCAAAGGATGCACGGTAAAATTGGCGGCTTTTGCCCAGGAGTCCTCTCATAGCCTTTCCCGTGCGACGATTGTCAATCTCCTGATCGGTGTGCTTTTCGGTAGAGCTGGTAAAAACCAGCAAGGAGAATGTTTGTGGAATATCCTGGACGCGTGGCGAGCTTAAAATAGGAGTGGAAAAAACTTAACGTTAGGTGGTGAACTTCAGCCCAAGCGGGATGCCGTCCCGCATAATCCAGCGGACTTAGGCCAGCAGAGAGTCGCTTGAGAGGTGGGCCGCCGGCGGTGGCCCCTCCCTGGGGGAAGAAGCAGCTGGTTGATGGTAGCTCTGTGTCGAAAGGTGGGGAGGTATAGGGATTGCGGGCAGTGCAGAGCGTGCAGGGGTTAAGGGTTGCACGGTAGCGGACTGGGCTTCGGTGTGGACCCCGAAGTCCCGTCCCGTCTTGCAGGAAGTGAAAGGACGAGGAGGAATGCATGGCGCCCTGAAAAATGGCGCGACGCCGAGCGCACGCATATGGGTCGATGGTCCTCTTAGTCTGTTGTTGCATGGTGCGAGATAAGGAGGCGTTTGCCATGGCGTGCAGATATTCGCAAACATTAGAATACAATAAACATCGCCATGACCGTCGTGATATTCTTTGGCATACACCCCCCCCCCGGTTCAGCCTTTTTTGACCCTCATGTTCCGCCGTGGTCGTGCTCGGTCAGCATTCACGCCATTCGACCCGCACGCCATCCATGCAAACCGCGATGCACACGCACATGCGGGCGCCTTGTAATGTAATGAATTTGCAAGGACCGGCCCGAGCATCTGCGCATCCTCAAATGGGCATCCACCCCCCTCCAGGTGTTCACTAAAACACAACAACAAGGAAACCAAATGGTTTCTCCGGGAAGAGATCCGCCAACGGAAGTGATAGATAGCCCGGATGCCCAAGACTACTTCAACCCCCCCAAAAAACACACCAACACAACCGCGGGAGGCCGGGGGGCTACAGATATTTGTGCACGTGATAATTAGGGTCCCCAGAACCCTTCCCCAGGCTGCGTCGTACAACGGCTCCATCGTCTCCTATCGACCAACGGGATCCCGCCGGACAGAGGAAGCGACAGCGAGGGGCGTGGGGCTGCGGGCCCCACAGCAAAAAAAGCCGCCGTATCCAGAGTTTCGAAGACAGCTGGGCAGCATCAAGAGAATTTATATAGATAATTGGTATCTTATTATTATTCCCGATGATTGCAATTCCGCCGAAGACCCCCAGCACTTCTAAGCCTTTGTTGATAAAGCGGAGCGGCACTGCTTATAAACCTGTAGATACATCAAACGGTCCTAACCAAACTACTTTTGAAAACCCTAATGATATATTTGAATCACAACCGAACAACATATGCAGTAAAGAAATTCAGGTATTGCCAACGCCCAGTATGTGCGCAGAGCAGAGTGTAGAATTGTCGTTATCAACCGGAATGCCATCTCAAAAATTCACCACCATGCCATTCGTAAACAAAAACACACACGCACGGGGGGGCCCTTCGCGTCCCGTGGGATCCCGTACCCCCGCACGTAGCGCCGTAAAAAATCATGCGGCTCACCTGTCGTACAAAAGTGCAGTACAGCACCCCCCCTTGGCTGCTGACGCTGTGCGCTGCTATCGCCCGAAGCCCGACAGCGAGTATGCGGATCGCGGGATATCCACTGGAACGCGATATCCACTTCCATTGAGCACATAGGCAGAGCAGGCAAGGGCCCTCAAATTGCCTTTTTAGTCGCAACACCAACATAATAGCGAATCGCGCAGTGGTATGGGAATGACTGTCGTCAAATGCTCAAAATGACCACATCCCTCTCCCACCGCCCTTCACCACAGAACCGCGGAAAGCTCTTCGACCTGTTCACCTTCGCACCCTTCCACCATTACCATTCACGCAATCCATGCAAAAATAGCGTTTGAGACGCTGTAGCTATATACGGTATATAGGCTGTAAGGGTGCTAAATCAAGCTCCTGGAAACCAACCGACCCACTCCGGCACCCACTACTAGACCCTACAAGACGAGAGACAAGGCGAGCAGCTGATGCACATGCGCGCACACACGCACACACACTCACACTCACATACGCACGTGCGTGACACAGACACGCAGCAATACAAAAATATGAGAGAGCAAAAATACGCGCCTCCGATCCGCAAACAACAAACAACAACAATAACAACAGCAGCCGCAGCAATAAATCATTAATGAAGGTAACCACCGGGGTGGCTTAGGGGCCCCTTAGGCCCCCCCCCTAAGGTATGTGACTCCGAGGACGTCCTCGTGGGCGGATGATGATCCTGATGCCTCAAAGTGGCAAGAGGGGCAAATAAGCTGCTTCAGCTCTCGAAACGGGTTCCCAAGCCGGCCCACGGCAAAACGGAGGGCCCGAATCGCCGCCCATGTCGAGGCCCCCACACACGGTATCATGAATACCCCGGGCCCCCCCCCTCGGAGCTGCCTGGCAACCGCCAGATTCGATCATCGTCGCTCACACTCACTCACTCAATCAATCCCCCCCAGCACACACATACACACACACTCTCTCGCTCTCGCTCTTGCTCTCGCTCTGGACAGACCAATTTACTTAGTAGTACTAAAAGTTCATGAATTTAGGGCCGCTAGTAGCCATAAACGCGGAAAGCATGAATGAACAAAGACCACCACCTCGTCTGTTGCTGTTGTCCTCCTACTGTATCCCCGAGGCCGATACCCGCGCTGCTCCGCACTCCCGCGAGGTGGAGGAGGCCCGGACCAGCCTTTCCAACACATCGAACACAAGCTCTTGGGGTGGGGTGGGGCGGGGGTTGGGGTGGGGCGGCGGTTGGGGTGGGGCGGCGGTTGGGGTGGGGTGGGAACGCGGGGGTTGGGGCAGGGCGGGGGTTGGGGTGGGGTGGTAAAACAGAGCGCGGGATGGGGGGTGGGGGTTAAGACGAAGGACAGGAGGGATGGAAAAGGACAGCCAGGTAACCCGCGTGGCATACAGGTGTGGCAGTAGTGGTTAGCAGGGGCGGCAAGAGGGGAGAGGGGAAAGACGAACCACGAGCGAGTGAAAGCAAACGGGGAGAGGGCGGGAACGCACCCGAGCAGCAGCAGCAGCACGAGGAGGAGGAGGAGGAGGAGTATGGGAGGGAATAGGCTGCAGCAGCAGCAGCGGAAGCAGCAGCAGGCATACAGGGAATGAATAAAACCCGCACACGCACACACGCACACACGCACACACGTATGTCGGTCTGTCTTCTTCACATCTCCACCCCCACCAGATTACCACCTGCTTGCGATCTGCTGGCTTTTTTGTCCCGGGGGGCGCGGGGCCCCTAGGCCGGAACCCATCATTCCCTCCGTTCACAGGAGCGTCCCTCTGCTCGCGTGTTGAGGCCGCCTGGAGCCGCCCACCAGGCGATACCAACCCCCCACGGTAATGCGGTCACCACGACTAAATCCCACTCACATACACACACGTGCTTGTGCTTGTGTCGCCGGTGCAACCACCCGCCCGCCAATCACCGAGCTGCAACAGCACCAACACCTTTCCGCACCTGACCGACTCCACTCCATATCCCCCTTCCTCTGGCAGTATCTCTGGCTACCTCTTAAGTATCTGCTTCAATCGTCAGTGGTTCGTCTTACCCTTCCTCCTCTCCTCCCTTTCCTCCCCCCCCCCGGGGGACCCCCACCTGTATCGCTAAAGCTCCGCCGGAGAGTGGAACATGCGGAAGGGGCCCCGCTGCGGGATCCCGCCGCCGCCGCCGCCGCGGCCGG